TGGAATGGGACGTTTGATCCCTGACTGACAAACGCTCATCTCTCTGAAGCAGCCCCACAGTCCAGTGGCTAATCAAGGAGGGCCTCTGGCAACCGGATCAGAGTCAAAAACCTACACCTTGAAAGGTACCTGGTCCAAAAAGAATGAACGACCAGCACCTGAACTACCAGGACAGACTGAAAGGGGAGGACTCCCTTTCTCACACAGCCCCTATCAGGTATGCAAAGAAGGCAAGCTGGATTGCCAAGTCAAGACCTCAAAACGCCTAGATGTTCACCCCCCTCATCCAGGATTTGTTACCGAGTCCCAAGAAAATCCCTCTCCAGTGGGCAGACTCCGAGGCTAGCCAGAGAAACTTGATCCCCTCCACCTGGCCGTCTTGGGGGACCCCGGTTGCTTACCTTTCAGACGTCTCCCCTATCCACGTCGGTCGCGCTTCTTCCAAATGGAAGTCCTTGAATCAAGGCTTCCCTATGCTCCTTTGTGCTGAAACTCCAGGTCAGAGCTTGGAAGGAAGTGGCTGCGGGAGAATTTGTAGTTTTGGTCAGCTGGTCAAATTAGGTCCGAATCAGGAGAGGCGCCTCGATTCCCAAGCCGCTCCTCCTTCGCTCTGGCCCAAAGAATCAGACCAAGGTGCCTGCTTGAAAATTTGGGCTATAATTGAATCGGGGCCTTCAAGCAGGGTCCCTTCATAGTAAAGCCAAATGATATCGAGCTCTTTTTGGGGGCCCCTCCAGGGAGGAGAGCCCAAGGACCGCACCAAAGAGGGTCCTGGATACCTTGGTGAGCTTTCTGGGAGCCAATCCAAGTGCGCAGAAATATTTAAAAATTAATAAGCTCATCAGAGGCGGAAGAAGTCCAGCGATCGAGGTTTATTTGCGATTCAGCTGAAAAGGATGCATTACAGGAATCATTCCACTGTAAGCATGCAGCACAAGAATTTCCAGGCATTTTTATACAGTGTAGAACAAAAGAAAGCAGTTTGAAAATCCTGCCCGCCCCCCTGTCAGCCGGCTTCGTGCTGATTGGCTGAGGCTGGAACAGCTGGGAGGAGGTAATCCCGCCCTCCCCCGTCAGGAGCCAATGGGAGCGTTTCTTCGCCTCGGGAGGGCCAATGGGCGCCCTCCGCTCGCTTCCTGGGTTCTGGCCAATCGGGAGCGAGGAGGCGGGACAGCCGCGGACAATGGGGAAAGGTGATGGGATTTGGGATTTCCTGCCCGCTGGAATGCGGGCCATTGTCCAAGGCGGGAAGAGGGTGATGTTTGTCAAACAAAGGCTTTCCTGTTCTTAATGAGTCTGGCGAGTGATATGAATAGCTGGATCGATACCAGACCGCCCGGAGGATCAACAGTATCTGGGTGATTTAATCAGTCCTTTCTTTCCGGGGCTCTGCTGACCAAACCCTCCTTCGTTGGCCTTGCTCCGATGACGAACTCGGGGGGCCAGCAGCATTGTCCATGCAAAATGAGTCAATTAATGGGTGATTTGGGGGGGAAAGAGGCTTGGGCTCTTTCCCTCAGGCAGTTCCTGGTCAGGCTGGCTTTATGGGGTAAGGGGTCAAAGGGGTGAAGAGACAGGGGAGTTCATTGAGGGATACATATTTCATATTTATAAAATACAGGCATCATCAATATACAGGCATTTCATAATCTCACAGCCCACCACCCATCCCAGTTCATCATAGTTAAGAAAAGATTTTATTTTTATTTTTTTTCATAAAAGAGGAAAGAAAGACTAGAAATCCCAAAAGTCCAGATGAAAAGGTTTTGGAGGCATGGGCCAGCCCATGATTCAGGCTGGCCAGCAGAAGATCGGCCCTTCCAGGAAACAGGAGCTGGAGCTGAAGGGGGAGCTACGTTCCACGGTCCCGTCCTTGGTGG